CCTCACATTGACCGTGGTGCCACCATTGAATGCTTTTCACAAACAATCATGGTATTTCAGGCAGGATGCTAACAGTAAACGACAACTTTCAAACTCCCTTCTTCGATAGACTACCAAAATCAGAAAGCTGCTATAAAATCCGATGAAGTCTTCCTCTGATGCCCCGAACAGGAAAAGTTTCGAGCGGGAGTCGCCATTTCACATTAATCATGTCGTTTAAAAACTTTTCGCAAGCCAGCTCTGACTTTCAGGAAATAAAATAAAAACGATAAACTTGTCAATCTGTAGATCTACAATCTAAAAAAGGAACTACTGCTCTTTTGAGGGATGCCCTCCCAATGGTGACACTAGAAACTCTGAATGGCCTGACATACTGGTGACCGATTTGGTACATCAGGTTCCAACAAGTCTCTGGGTTTAAAGGAGTCAAGTCTATGCTTAAGGTAGAGAGGGAGAAAAGGATATAAAAACAAATTTTAGTTTTTTCACTCCACAAGCTCTTTGTGCCAAGGTGGCTAACGTGTGCCAACATCAAGTGATCCTTTCTCCCAGGAACCAAGAGGAAGTCTCTCAAAACTAGAAGAGAAAGGTGTTTTTCTCCACGTCAATCCAGCTTTCGAGACATTCTCTTCGTAATATATGTCCTTCCCCGAAAAATAACAATGAAGTGTTCTGTGTGCTAACAACATAGCTTTTAAAAATGTAAAACAAAATTCTGCGTTTTTATAAAAATGGTATTTCAAACTGTACCGTCAACAGAATTACACGGTTATCAAAAATGCTCATACTTCACTTGGCATCCCCAGCACCTTCGGCTTTCTGTGCCTGGTCTGTTTTTGGTTTCTCTGTTTTCTGCAGGGTTATTGCCATCCTTGCCAGCATCAGCTCTCCCCCTTTTCGCACTAGATACCTTCTCTCTCTTCTTTGCAGGGGCCTTGTTCGGCTTGGGCTCTGGTGTTGAAGCAGCAGGTGTAGCAGATAACCTTGCAGTCTTCTCTGTGGTTGATCTTTCACCCTGGCTTTATCTCCTTTAGCATCCCATTCAGCTTTTCTCTTGGGCATGATGGCCGCAGGACCTAGGCACTGGACAAGGGGATGCAGGGGCGTGGGCTTTGGTCAGTCTGGGGGTCGTTTTCGCTTCTTCACACTGCTCCAAGCACTCATATTTTAAATAAGCGTCCTAGGTAATTCTGTTTAATTTTTATTTTTAAGGCTATTACCCAGAGTAGAAAATTCCAGCAAAACTAAAAGATATGCAATAAAAGAGGAAAATAAGTGGGGTTCAAGTTCACTCGTGTGGCCTCGGATGAATCCTTCTCCTTCTCTGGGCCACAGGCTCCCCAAACTTCCCAGCAAGGGGGTTAAATTGATACACTCTAAGCTCTTCTCTGTTTCAAGTGCAGCGTGTGACCCTCAAGGATGTTGATAATGCATGAGTCAGGACTGCTGTGGGTTTCGGTGGCAGAAATCCAATTCACAGAGAAAGGGAGGGAGACATGTATTTGAGCTGAAAAGTCCAAGGGAATGTCTGACTTCAGGCACAGCTAGATCCAGTATTCTTTTATTTTCTTAGTATTGGCTTCATTTTCCATTCGGCTTTGCCAGATAATTGTATCTAAAGTCTTTAAGGAAAACAAACAAACAAACAAACAGATTCAGGCAATCTGAGGAGACCCCAATCTGTCTTTGTGGGTAGGGAGCCCTTTCATTCAGAACAGTGGTAATGTGGTCTCCGTGATTCTGTGAAAGGTTCTCCTCATTGTAGGCAGTGAGATGTATCTGTTGTCTTCATATGAGTCTAGCTTGTGCTGTCTTGTTCATGTGCATGCATGAACACATGTGTGTATGCGTGGACATGCACATATACATATGTGTAAGTGTGCACATGCTTGTTTAAGAGTTTCGCACACACTATTGGGAGTAGGAACCAGAAGACCCAGGAAGAAGGAAGGCATGGTTTCTCCCCACTTTGGGAGATTTAGCTTAGTGTAGACCAGGCTTGGGGGTCAGCCAAATGTTTTAGCAGATAGGGGCCTTTGAGGGTGTGGCAAAGTCCTGTCTTTATGTGAGCTGAGGCCAGTGGAGCTGCAGAGCATTGGGTTGACCTGAGAATAAGGCTCCCCAGAGAGCAGGGCCTTTGAGCTGCATGTGAGAGGACAGGGTCCTCTGCTTGTCTCACTGCCTCTGCGCCATTCCCCCAGACCCATGCCTAGGGGACGAGAGCTTCTAGTTAGTGTCACCTCAGAGCTCAGCTGTGTGAGGCAGCCAATGCCAGTAGGAGATGCTGGCTTTGTCCTGGGTGTGGTCCATGCTGAGAAACAGCACCCAGCTGAGCCACTGTGACCCCAGGAGGCCACAGCAGGGCAAAGGTAAGGTCTTAGGAGGTGGGAGGCTGAGGAAAGGGAAGTGACACGAAGCCTGAGGGGAACATATCCATGTGGGGACAGCCGGACTCAGGTAGAAAGGGGACCCAAGAAGAAGGATCACGAAATGTGAAAGAGTGGTCTTTGAGCAATAGACCAAGGAAATTTAGAATCACAGCTCAGAGTCACATCTCAAAGTCACGTCAAGTCTCACAGGAGCTTAGCAGTCACTGAATCCAATTTCTGAGTATCTCTGGTAATGGGGACCTCACCACCTTCCCAGGTAGTGGCTAGTTTTATAGGATGTCCCGAAGAGAGGCTTGGAACATTCTAGAGACAGGTCCGAGTCTCTGAAACCCACAAGTGAGGAAAGCCTTGGAGCACAGAGTGGCAACAATTTGCTGAGGGCTGAGAAAAAAAAAATTTTAAATAAAATTGTGATTTGCTGTGAAAGAAGCCATCATGGAGATGAGGTTAGAGATGATGAGGAGGGGCCACCTCATGTGGGCAGTCAGGGAGGTTCTGAAGAGGTGACATCAAGAGCTGGGGGCAGCTGGGGAGAAGAGTCCTGGGCAGAGAGAATGGCTTATGCAAAGGCCCAAAGCAGAAAAGAGGTCAGAATCTTCTGGACTAGAAAGAAGACAGGTAGGGGCCGGGAAGGAGAGGTAGGAGATAAGTTTGGAGAGGCAGTGAGCAGATGACACAGTCTCCTGTAGGGCATGGTAGGACTTTGGGTTTCAGCTGAGTGACACACCTCTGGCTGCTGTGCTGAGTAGCGTGGATGGGGCAAGTGCGCAGAGGGACGCCAAGGATGAGGCTGTGATGCGTGTCTCTTGACACTGGCTGTGCAGCCTCAGGCAAGGCATTTAACCTTTCTGGGCCTCACTGCTACCCACACATAATAATATAGAGGCAGATTTTGTTCACTCTCAGGGTGAGAACAGGCAGGCATAAGGGGTAGTGAGTTCCCCATCACTGCAAACATTCAATATCTCTCCACCATGAGAGATATTGTAGAGAGCGCTCAGACAGCAGAGAAGATTGGGCAGAATGACCTTTCTGGTTGCTGTTCTAACTTTCTGTGGGCCACAGTTCTGGCCCCATCTCTGTCCATGTCTTGCTGGGTGACCTCAGGTTTGTTGCTTCCCCTCTCTGAGCTTTGCTTCCAAATGATGACAGAATTAGGATGGATGATCACTATAGGTTTTCCCACTAGCAATTCTCCAATTTGTCTATCTGTAGTCTTCACCCTAATCCCCATGCACAATGGCCACCATCTTGGCAGCTAGAGACTCCATGAGAACCCAATCTTAGTCTTGGCAGAAAGTTCTCCCCATATACATTCATTCCAACTCAAGCATCCTGGGTGACCTTTGGGTTGGAAGTCTCTCTGCTCATCCTGGATAGGGGTTATTTTCTTTGGAGTCTCCTTGGATGGCCCCGGAACCAGGGCTTGCTTCCATGGACAGCTTCTCATCCTGTACCTGCCAATATAAGGGCCACCACCACCCAGAAGAATTCCAGGAGACTGTCCAGGGAAACAAGGATTTGTGAGCATCCTTCTCCAAACCTGTGAGTGGTGGGCTTCCCCTTGACAACATCCCAAAAGGTGGTCTTCAGAAGGCATTGAGGGCAGGAGGCAGAGTGATGGGGCTGCTTGGATTAGTTAATATTTTGAATATAAAAAGTTAAGAGATAGATATAGATTATGTTCAGAGAAGTGTCAAACTGATGAGCAATGCAAGGTCATGACGTGGTGCCCAGTTATTTGTTCATACTTTTATTCTGCAAATGTTTACTTGTCGTACTGAACTGGGTGCAGGCTTTTTGCTGGGGGCTGGAGATTCGACAGTGAAATAAGTCACAGTTCCTTCTCTAAGGAGTTCACAGCCTGGTGGTAGAGACTGACAAGTCATCAGGTAATTGGTACCCAGGACTCTGATCAGAGAAAGAAGGCAGAAAAAATATGGTGTGGAGTCCTTCCCCTAGACTCTGGGGAGGGGTCTAAAGTGGATTTCAAGGAAGGCATGATGTTTTACTAAAGCCGGAGAGTCAACAGGAAGTGACTTTGGTAAAAAAAAAAAAAAATGCAAAGAAGAAGACAGATGTTTCAGGCAAAGAAGCCAGCATGTGGAAAGGACCTTTGTGTAAAGAGCATGGACTTATAGTCTAGTGTAATTTTTCAAACCACAGCTCCTCCACTCACTGGCTGTGTGTCTCTGGGCAAGTTGCTCCAGCTTTCTGCCCTAGGTTGCCCATCTGTAAAACAAGAGATAAGCACATTTATCTTAAAGGAATATTAAGTTAAGAGTGGTAGGTACTCCCACTGGGGGAGGCGGAAGGGGGATGGCTGTGTGTCTCTGGGCAAGTTGCTCTAGCTTTCTGCCCTAGGTTGCCCATCTGTAAAACAGGAGATAAGCACATTTATCTTAAAGGAATGTTAAGTTAAGAGTAGTAGGTACTCCCAGTGGGGGAGGCGGAAGGGGGAAAGCAGGGAGGGAGAAAAAGTAAAAAAAGAAAATGTTAAAAATTAAAAAAAATCTTTTTAAATAGAGTGGTAGGTACTCATTGATTCCTTTTCCTTCTGGCTAATTCTCACTCTTATTCCTCCCATGAATGTTCAGGTGTCAGGACAAGATGTTTCAGCTTTGGAAACTTGTTCTCTTGTGCGGCCTGCTCACTGGGACATCGGCATCTCTTCTTGAGAGTCTTGACAACCACCTGGGTAGTGCTGTGAATAGCCTGAAATCTATTCTTGATAAAGGACTTGATACTGTTGACACTACACTTGAAGGTGAGTTAACAGGAATGATGATAGGTGGCAACCAGAAGCCCGCCTTCTAAACACTATGCCTGCATTACCAGGAGCTGCCACCAGGGGCTGCCTTTTAAGGGTGGTTTATTGGGAAAAGTGATTGGTTGCTCAGTACCTGGTTCATTCACTTATTATTTTTCTATTAATAAGCAATATTTAAATGAATACACTTTTACATATTAAATCATGGTAAAGTTTTTCCAATATATGCATAGAATAAATTCCTAAAAGAGATTTCAAAAGTTAAAAGATATGTACATTTTAAGTTACAGTGTATGTTGAAAAATAATCCCTGCCAATATTTTCTTCAACAGTCCGTGAGAGTATCTTTCTTTCTGCTCTCTTGACAGCACTGGTATGGACAACTTAAATATTTTGCCAGCCTCAGAGATGAAAGATTCTAGTTCATGTCACTTTACATTTCTCTATTGATGGAAGAAACCACTCATTTTTACATATTTTTTAGCTTTTTACATATTTTAACTTAAATATTTTGTGCATATTCTTCTGTTGGGTTGTTTAGGTTTCTTATAGATTTGTATTAACTCATTGGAAATCGAGGAAATTAACTCTACCTGGCCTAGGTAGCTGTATATCTACTTTTATATTTAATTATATCTCCTTTTTATTTTGATTTCTTAAAAGAACTTTGACTTCCTTCTCATTTTCTGGAAACATTAAAAGCACATTGACAAACATTTATAGGACATAGTAACTTCTGTAAATGAATGCCTTTCAGATCTTGTAAGAGCTTAGACAACCTTCAAACATACAGAAAGGACCCAGTCTCAGATTTTACTCCTGAGAAAACTGAGCTCAGAAACAGAAATGTCTGGGCCAAGTTCACTTAGTGAGTTATAGTACCAGACATAGTTTTATTTAAATTAGGATTCTCTATTTGCATCGCTGTAACTAAATAGATACTATCCATGGCAGAGCCAAGTTACAGTACTATGATTACATATCTTTTCCTATAGTCTTTTGTTTTTTCTTGAGTTAGTAATTGCCTTGTTGTTTCTCACTCGAATTATTTTACACATATATTCTTAACTCTTTCCGTATGCACCATTCTACATCTGTTCTATCTAATCTCTCTTTTCTTTGGAGACCTCCCATTAGGACATTATGTCCTTCTGCTCCTGGGCCGCTGCAAAGCTCTCATCCTGGGACTCTCATTTGCTTTGTTTATGGATTGGAGTCATATTTTTTTTTTCTTAATTCTATATTTTCCATATTTTAGTTTATTCTCCCATTTTGTTTGACTTAGTTTTTAAATTCACGTGGACATCTCATTTAAAGCAATAGACCCCTAAGTCACTGCGAGAAGCTGGTGTACAAGCATCATCAATTGCCTGGTCAATTGATTGATTGCTTCGTTGATAAATAATGAGTATATATTAGAATGAAGGCAGCATGGAGAAACAGCATGGAGGAACTTTAGGCACGTTTCTTAAAATTTCATCCTTTATTTTTTCATCTGTAAACTGTGGATAATATCAATACCTTCCTCACTGAGTTATGAAGATTAAATGAAATAACATAGGCAAATAGTCTTATCTAGTATTTGGCACATAATAGCTGCTTCATAAGTAGTATATAACACTAAACAGCAATCTTTTTTGTCAGCTGTCCTTGGGAAAGAGAAGGACGATGTGGCCACATTTCAGGATTCTAAGGTTTGGCAATCGACCAAGCAGAAGTTCCAGGATGCTGAAAACTTGGTGAACAATGGCTTTCCTAGTATCTTTCCAGTTAAGGACAAGGATTTGGGGTGAGTTGGTAGAGATCTTCATAGTAGAGATCTTTGCTCCAAGAAAAGAGAATACATGGTGTGGGGCGGGGGGTAAGTTTAAGATTAAAGACAGAAAGGTGACAAACACTGTTTTTCTCACATAGCCAAGGTGGTCTGAGGCCAGGTCCACCATAGCTTGAGTATATAAGAGGCGGGCCACAGGGCCAACCTGGACATCACATGGGTTTGGACTTCCACATTCTGTAATTTCAAGGTCAGGGTGAAGGCTCTCTTCATTATCATTTCCACCTTTTTGTTATTGCCTGAATTCCATTTTCCAAGGAATAAGACTTTCTTCTCCAAATATAGCTGAGAATAAAAGTCTGAATCCCCTTAGGAGAGAGGAAACTGGAATTCACACCCGCTGGCTCCACACATAGAGTTTTGGAGTGAAACAGTTCTAGGTTCAAATTCTGGCTCAGGCAATTATTTCCCCTAGAATCTTGGGGAAAACCACATCTGTCTGATCCTTAGTATGCCATGCCATAAAATGGAGACAATCAAACCTCTGAAGAGGGCTATGGTAAAGACCAAAGCAGGCAAGGTTGATGAGACCAAATGCTCAGCACAACGCTGGCATCAAGCGGTGCTCAGCAAATGGCTGTCATGAGGAGTGACAAGGGTGAATTCTGGTTTTTGGACAGGTTGAGAATCAGTGATACCCACATCCTGGATGTCAGAACTGAACTGGCTCCTGATGGCAAAACCCTTAACCTGAGGTTCCCCATCACTGCTAATGTCATCCAGTCCTTGTGAGTATGTATTAGAATTTGGAATTTGGGGAGGCAGTGCAGCATAGCCAAGGGATCTCCAAATTGGAATTGGTCACTTTTCCACACTGCTGTGTGGCCTTGGGCCTCAGTCTCCCAATCTGTAAATGAGGAGACCTTTCCCACTCTGAAGTCCTAAAGTTTAAAAAGTTTTGATGAACTTTGGCCATAACCAAGTCTCTTTCAAAAGAATTTTCTATTAAATATATTTCCGGAATCATAACATTTATCTAATTGTAAAATTTGCAAACATTGAGAAAACATGAACATTTATAACTCTTTGGCAAAATTTTCCCAAAGCATTATTTTGCCTTTCAAGATTCTCCTTAAATAGCAGTGACCATTATGGATAAATGCATATAATAGTGTATACTATATAATATAACTTTAAAGCATATTAATTACTTTAAAAGAGCAGGATAGGAAAATGAGCACCTGTGGGTAAAGTTTATAAGTTACATGCATTATAATTCCATCATTCGTTAGCTATGAGATCTTGGGAGAGTTACTTAATCTCTCTATACCAACTTTTTCTCATTCTAAAAATTGAGATGATAGTACCTTCCCTCATGGTATTTCCCTCATGCTAATGATTAAATGGATTAATCCAGGTAAAATACTTTTTAAAACTGCCTAATACATAATTTGTGTTCAATAAATCCTAACTATTATTATTTTCATTATTAGCGTGACGCTATATAAGAATTTCATATAAACCAAACCCATGTGGCTAGAAAAAGAAGCCCTTAATGTAAATATGTTAATCCCATAAAGAATATGGACAATGTTGACATTATCCATAGATATCCTAGATATTGTCCACACAGGTAAAGGAACCTGAGTGGGCAATGTGAAAGTCCTTCTAGACCCTTCTTCACTGTGAACCTTATTTCCCGCAGGCCTCTCCTTGGCCAGACAGTCAACCTGAAGGCTTCTTTGGATCTCCTGACTAGTGTCAGAATTGAAACCAGTCCCCACACTGGCCTCCCCCTAGTGGTCCAGAGAGAATGCATCAGTGACCCAGCCAGTATCCAGCTCACCTTGCTGGGCAGGTAAGGCACATCCATTTCAGTAGAGCTGGGCTCTCAGAGGAGTTGAGGACCCCTAATTTCATCACTATTCCTATACCTGGGAGGTGGCACATGTGATGAAAAGAGTTTAAGCTCTGTAGTCAGACAGACCTAGGTTCAAATACCAGCGCTGTCACTACCTTGTAACTTTGTAACCAATTTAATCCCTCTCAGTCTCAGTTTTTACATCTGTAAGCTGAAGATGACAGTAATACCTACTCATAGTCTGCTGAGCTGACCAAAAAAATATAAGTGTTTAGCATGAAACCTGGTACATACTAAGCTCTCAGTAATAAAAATACCCATACTGACTTTCTGTCTCCTTGTTCTTTCCATTACTGAAACAGGAGTGTTGACCTCTCCAACTGTAATCGTGAATTTGTTTATTTCATCTTTCAGCTCTATCGGAATTTTCCTTCTTGCTTTTTGAAGCTCTGTTGTTAGGTGCATGCAAATTTTGGATTGCTATGGCTTCTTGAAGAATTACCCTTTCATCGTTATGTAATGTTCTCAGTCATCATCATCATCATCATCATCATCATCTTCATCAATTGCATTTATCTTCCTGCCTCCAGTTGGGAGGGGGAAGAGGATTAAATGCCCACCATGGGCTCTAATTTCAGATTGTCCCCAAATCGTCCTCCACTGGAAAATTCCTGAACTGAGATCTTGAAAACGTAATGCTCTCCATTTAAATCATTGTTCCCTATTAATCCACAAAATCTACATTTTAAACTGTGTAAGAGTAAGTTTGGCCCCCAGAAGAAGGTGGAGAGAGAAAGAGACACCCTAGCTGTGGCTAGGAGAGGAGAAATGTTCTGGAAACTGAGGACTGGGGCAGGTTTGCTTTGGTAGGAAATAAGTCTGGGCCATGAGCAGAAGACAATCCACCTTACCCCCACAAGGGATCTGGTCAGACGTTGCTTAAAGACCCCACCTCAAACCAAAGAATGGCCCTCAGGGCCTGATGTTAGGCGGAAAGGCTGGGATGCAAATTTAGAGGCCTGATCCCTGCTAGACACTGCCTCTGGGTCTCAGTGTCCATATCTGTAAAATGGCATTCCACTGTGCTGCTCCAAATCCTCTCAGGGTTTTTCTTTCCACTTTGGATGGAATCCCAAGCCCTACTTATTGCCACCTAGGCTCTGTGTGATCTGGCTCCATCCTCACATCACTGTACTCTTCCCTCGCTCGCCCTGCTCCAAACATGCTGGCCTTTGCTCTGTGCCTCAGACTAGCTCCTTCCCACCTCCAGACCTGTGCACAGGCTCTTCTGGCTATTTAAAACACCCTTCCCCCCACTCCAACTCAACATATTTTTCATCCTTCATGGTCTAATACAAGGTTCCTCTGATTCTCTCAAAAGTATCTACTCCCACTCTTCAGAGTACTTGACACAAGTTGTTATTATATATTTAATTGTATGTTTATTTCATTCATTCTTTCAGCTGAAAACATATTGAGCATCTGTTACATGCCGGGCAGGCAGTGTTCTGAGCTCTGGAGAACTTATTGGTGACAACAGAAAAGGACCCAGTTCTTATGCATATTTTTGTCCTGAGAGAAAGGCAGACAGACGAGCATTCAGTCCCTCAATACAGGAGAATGTCAGATTGTGATGAGCCATGGGCAGAGCAGCACACTTAACAGGGAGCTATGATACAAAGCCCTCCCTTAGGTGAGCAGTCAGGGCGGGCTACCATGAGGAGGTGAAAGTTATGCTGAGAACTGAAGGTGGGAAGGAGCCAGCCTTAGCATGACTTGTTTAATGTTTAGGGACCAAGCTAGGAGCTGTTTGTGTTTTGCTCATCCCCATATCCCCAGTCTAGCTTGGTCTCTGAAATATAGTTGCTGCTCTATAAATAATTGTTTAATAAATGAATGAGGTTGTGATGAGATTCTCATGAGGTATTGGGGTGAGCTGCTGGTCAGACACGGGGTTCTAAGTAATGATTCTCTTGGACGGAGGCTCTGTGCTTCGAAAGGCATTGCAGAGTCCCTAGAGTTTGCTTACCTGCCTTCAAGGTGCTTTGCCGTCTCCTACCCTCACCCCACCCCTGTCACTTGGCCACTCTGCCCACTTGACCATGTGTTATTAGTTCCTTCTCTTTTCCAGACGGAGTGAGCTGGTCAGCAAGCTCGCAAATATTGTGTCCAGCGTAACAAGAAAGACTGTGTCCTTCCTGGTGCAGAAGCAGGCGAGTCTTCCACTCTTTGGGGCCCAGAGCCAGGCTTGGTGGGGGGCAGTATGGAAGGCCTGGCTATACTTTCTGGGCTCCTTTCCTTCTGAAGTGCAAAATTCTCATTGGGCTATCAGCTGAAACCTGCCTCCCAGCTGATAATGGATCTGTCCTTTTTCCTCTTCCGGTCCTTCTTCTTCTCTCTCTCCCCGCTCAGATGTGCCCACTGGTCCAGGCCATCACCTCTGCCTTGAATGTGGATTTCATTCAGAATGCCATCGGTAAGTCACAGCCTGGGGAAGTAGAGACGTTCCCTGTGCAGCCTTCCCAGGGCAGGCATGCAGCTCTGTGCCCACCCCACAGGCAGATCTGGTCAGGGGACCCAACGCCCTGAGCAAATTGGGAGAGTGTGTCTAGAAGGATCCCTGCAGAATGGAGGGGATTCTGTAGGCCTCTGAGAGCTCTCTACTGTCATCCTTTTGTAAACCTGCAGAAGCTGCCTGGCAGAATGATGTAAGAAAGAAGATGGGCCAGATCTGAGTTCAAATCCTGGCTCTGCTTCTTAGCAACTGTGTGGCCTTGGTCAAGTGGCTCTGCCTTTCTGAGCCCCGGTTTTCTCCTGGGTATAACAAGGTTGTAAACATTTTGAGTTTGTTGAGTGGATTAAAAGAAAAAGCATAAAGAGCCAAATATCCAGTGGGCATTGCTAATAAACACCTTCCCTTCTTTATCCCTTCTTACGAGAAGCTAGGGCTTCTCCTCCAGACACTGGGGGCTTTCTTTGGCCTTGGGTCTCCAGGCATGGCTGGGGTTGCTAGGGATGCTGAGGCAATAGAAATGGGGTAAGTGGATGTGTCAGGGTCCTGGAGGTGGCCCTTTTATGAAAATAGCTGCAGGTCCAGTTCTTTGAGCAATAACTCTGTGCTCTGCATACACCAGCTCATTGGATCCTCACAACGACCCTGTGGGGTTGGTACTGTCATTGTCCTCATCTTACAAATGAACAAATGAGGCTCAGAGAGGTAGAGTGACATGCTCGAGGTCCTCTGGCTGTCAGACGGACCCACTGGAGAGTGGCAGCCATTGAGGTCTGGTTTTTATTTGATGGAGACTGAAGCCTGCTATTGATTTTGTTTCTCCAGACAATCTTCAGCATGGAATCAACCAGCAAATCAGTATCTGAAGAGGGCAGAAGAGGAGGACCCTGTGATTTTCCCCACTGGTGAGGGGCCAGGCTCTGTGCCCCATGCTAAGGGAGGATGAGGCTCCTCTTTGGGGGCCTACAGTGAAGCCAAAGCAAAGCCTGCATTCTCTTGTTTTTCTAGCAGCAGACCAAGCCTTGGTCTTGGTCTTAGACTGAGGCTTGACCTTAGTCCCAAACGGAGACCTGATCCTGGTCATACTCCGAACCCTGAGCCTTAATCGCACACCCGCTGTGACCTTGGATCCTAGCCACAGACTGAGCTTCAACCCCAGTTATTGACTGAACCCTGACATTAGTCACAAATTGGGCCCTGACCCTGATCTCAGACTGATCCATGATCCTGATCACATACTGAGCCCTGAACCCTGGCTCCAGTCTTGGCCTCTGATCAGTCTTTTTATGTCTTCTATTGTTCCTAAGGTGAGGGAAGGGGAGAGTGAAGGGATAAGGATGGGTCAGTGCCAGGTGCCAGAAAAAGACCCCACACCACAGGTGCCAGGCCCCTCTTCAAGGCCTTAGAACCTGCAGGATATTGTTGGAAAGAATTTGGGCAGCAGTGTCTGCTGAATAGCAGATGCCCATAAAGGCCCCTTTGCTGTCAATGACCTAACCCCCTGTGGTCTCATTCCAGATTAATTCCCAGTGGCTTGACGGCATTCTCCTGTAGCATCTCCCTCTGGGAAGGTGATGCCAGCATCCATGGAGTGAGAGCCTGAGCCCAACCAGAATGACCTCATAGTTGAGACAGTAGTCTTTATGCTCGTCACCCTGCACCCCTACCAATAAAAGCCACTTCTGCATCCTCTCGTGTAACCCGTTGCTTTCCTTCCACTGGGGACTTGGAGATGGGGGTTGCAACTAGGGCAGCAGGGACTTGGATCCGGAGCTGAGAAGGACATTTGTGACTATTTGGCTCACCTTGTTTTACAAATGGGGGCACTGTGGCACAGACGGCAAGGAACTGACCTGAGGTCACATAGCCAGTCTGCAGCAGTGGCAGGACCCTTGATTCATCCCTTCACACATTCAGCAGGTATACAGTGAGCACCTGCTCTAGGCCAGGCAGGCAGTGGGAACAAGACATTTACATTCTGGGGACAACATTACTTGACACGTTCCTTCATTCTCCAGGGACTCTGAAAGGCCTTGCAGAGGATAAGGGGACATCTGATCTGTCTGGATTCAGGAGTATAGGGCAAGGTGACCTAAGGTCAGAGGCCTGGACCACATCCCAGCCTGCCATTCCATGCCCTCTGAGTTCAGGCTATGGTTCCCCTCGAGCTAAGATCTCTTCAAGGAATATCCGAGAACACCTATGGTCTCCAGGACCCAGGGCTCACCCACCTCTCCAAAGCATCGCCAGCATAAGAGCCTGTGTGCCTGCCCGCCAGGCTGCATGAAAACCCTGCCTGCCTTGTGAGGCCAAGGGTGTTCTGCTGTCCCATAGAGACCAGCTCCTCTCTCTGGCCAAGGCCCCTCCACCCACTTCCCAGAACTTAGCTCACCCCAGGCTGTGCCAGGCCGTGGTTGAGACAGCATCACTCTGCTTATACTAAGACCACTGCCATCAGGAAGAGCTGCTTTTGCCTGCACACAAGACCTCATTAATCCCTCACAACACTCCTATACCAGGAGACAACTTTCTTATCCTCATTTGACAGATAAGGCTCAAAGAATTTTTGCCCATTTTGCCAAGCAGCCACCTCGTTACTTTGCACAGCTCTCCCCACAGGAAATTCAGGTACGGAGAGGCTAAGGCCACACAGTGGCCTACACCCAGCTGCCAACTCACCCAAGGGCCTCCCTGCTGAAGAAGCCTGCCTCACGGGGGTCAAGTCACTTCAGGGGGCCCTTGAGCCCTTGGGGTGGTCTGGAGGGGCCTTGGACCAATTATCCTGAGCTCTCCAGTGAGGACCTCAGTTCAGGTTATGTCGGGGAGCTGCTGGGTACAGGGCGAGGCCAAGGAGTTGGGCACATTTGAGCTTGAGTCAGCCCCTGCCACTTTCCAGCCCTGAAAGCTTAGGCGAGTTACTTAACCACTCAGAACCGCAGTTTTCTCGCCTGTCAAATAGAATTAACAGTAAAACCTCCCTCTTTAAGCTGTTGTAAGGATTAAAGGAGCCAATTAGTGAAAAGCATTTAACCAGAGCCTGCCACCTAGTGAACATAGGATGAACGTCCACCTTTGCATGCTGAAATTACTATTATGACCTCCTCCCTCTTGTTTGTTACTTGGTGAAAGCTCTGAAGTGGTAGCGAGGACTGTGGTCTTGGGAAATCTTGGCTCTTCACCTTGTCTTTATGGCAAGACTGTCCCCCAGTGGTCATTCTTCTCTACCCACCTCAGGTTTTAGCTGGGCCATCATGGCCCCAGCCAGAGATTATATTTCCCAGCCTTCTTCGCAATAAATGTGGCCATACTAAAGTCTAGCCCATAGAATATAAGCAGAAGTGATGCTGCAAATTTCACTTTGTGCTTTAAAAGAAAGGAGGTTCTCTCCACTTCCTCCCAATGTTCTCCTTTCTCTCCAATTAGAAATACGGACAAGTGAAACAATTGCCTGAGACCCAGAGGCGGAAGCTGTGCATTGAGAATAGTGGAGTGCTGCAGCAGCCCCTAACCACTCATCTCCAGGCTCTCTGGCAGAAAAGAATGGACCAGATATTTAAACCATTGTGTGTTTTCACATCTCTTTGTTAAGGCTGCTTTGTCTCTATTCTACCTAACTCATGCTGCCAATGACATGCTGTGTGACATTAGGATGCTCACTTACCCTCTCTGAGCACTTTTTCCATGTTTGCACATTAATCCCTGAAGGCCCTTCCTGCTCCAACAGGACAGAAGTCAACGCTCCCTCCAGACTTAAAAGGGAAAGA